GACACCAGCAGCCAGCCCAACTATGACCAGCAAGCTGCAGCAAGAAGGGCCCCAGGTTCCCAAGCTGGGATGGTGGGGGGTGGGCGAGGGCTATTGCCATAGCCTCCTGACATCTGCGCCCAGCCAGGCAATGACCAAGCCACTGCTGGAAGCCCCCTGGTCTCCCCTGTGGGAATGTGGGGGGTGCCACAGGCCTCAATCCCCCCTCCTTTCCCCTTCTCCCATCCCATTTCCTTCCCCTTTCCCCTCTCCCCCTCCCTCCCAACTGCTCTGCAACAACATTCTAGCATGTAAAAATAATATTAATAAAATTACATTTTCTTAAAAAAAAAAAAAAAACCAGGAAACTGCTAGTAGCTTGAAATCAGCCATGGTGAGAATATTTACACCATGGAAACTGGCAAATACCACGTATCATGGCTTCCCCCCTGGACGGCAGGAGGTTAGACATTTACTTGTGCGTCACTGGGAGATTTGGTTTTCTCTTTAAGAAGCACTCTCTCTGGCTGCCAGATGAGAATGGCCTGCAGGGCACAGAGAAGCAGGAGGAACAGCAGGCCAGGCTGTTGCATGGTCCAGGTTGGAGAGAGGTGGTTTGGACCAAGGTGGGCCAGTGGAGAGAAGCGGACGGAACTGAGATTCTGCAGACAAAATCAATGGCCTTGCTGGGGCGACTCCCGTTACTGAGGTTCAGAGCAGGGAGATGACCTGGCCTGAGCATGGAGGAGGCGTGACTTGAACCCAGGTCTGTCAGGCCTCTAAACTCCATCTGTTCCCTACACCTAAGTGCTGCCCAAGTTGCCATAAAGATTCTTCCTGGGGAAGGTTATGATTCTGGGATGAGAGGAGACAGTTAATGATGTCCCTCGCTGCTCCTCAGCCCTGGCTCCCTGTGGTCAGATCAGCTTCTTCCCACACCTCTTCTTGGGAGGGCAGTTCCTCTGAGATACTGCAGGGAGTTGGGGGGAGCCAAGATGTCACTTCCAGACCCTGGAAGGCCCAGTCCCTACTGGTGGGCCCTGGGGCCATGACTAGAGCCTCTGTCTTCTCTGCCAGGAAGACCCTGCCTCAGGAGAGCTGGGCCAGAGGTGGCCTTGGAGTGCCCAGGACCTTCTGGGGTGACTCCCTAGCTCCGGGAGCTGGAGCCTTCCCTGGTGCGGTGAAGGATGAGATAGGAGCATGCGACAGTGGGCGCTGTGCCAGGCCGGGAGCCTCGGAGGAGGAGGGGCCACAGCGCAGCTTCCAGGGCCCTGGGCTGTGCTGGGTTCTGCCTCTTCTGGTACCAGGGATAGAGGGACGGGAGGGTACGGATGGCTGAGATTCCATCTCAGTGAGCAGGGGAGGTTCTTAGCAAAATCCAGGCAGAATCCATAGACCGAGTCTGTCTTCCTTGTACCCCCCCTCCCACCCCCTGGCGTCACACTCCCACCCCTTCTCCCAAGCCACCTTCCCCAGCCAACCCCAGCAACCTCTGTCAAAACTCCTTGTGTTAGGGGACCAGGCCATTGTGACCCTCTGGAGGAAGGGTAGGGGGGCAGGAAGTAAAAGGACCACCCAGCGAACACCCACTGCATGTCAGGCTCCGTGCTGCTCGCTCTCCTGAAGGTTCGGAACAGACACTCTCCTAAGGAGTTAGTATTATTTAAAAGTTTAGGCCCTTAAGATAGGGCCTCGAAAGTTCATTCACATCCATCTAGACTTTCTTCTATGCACACACAAGGGTTATGTTTACGAAATGAGATGACGCTAAGTGTCCCACATGGACTATCTCACCTAATCCTAGGTGCCATTATTATCCCCACTTTGCATTTCAGGAAACTGAGGCTCAGAAGGGTAGCGTGCTTTCCCTAAGCACAGCCTCAGCCTCGTTCTCCACATCCCAAGCATCATCACTTCTGGCTGGGGAAGGGCTGGCCTTGTCCCTTTTGGGGGCATTTGGGGCTGCAGAGCAGATGGGATTGGAATTCTGTGTAGGAGGCCTCATCTGGCCCTTCATTCCGCTGTGCCTGGCGACCCAAGCCCTCACGGCAAATTCCAGCCCCAGGAGTCCTTGTTAAGGTTTCTGAAAAAGGGGGTTCTATTGCCATTTAATTGCAGTTCTGCCCTTGAAGCGGCTTGTGTCTCCCAAGCATCCCAGCTGTCTGTAATGCATGGACAAGTCTCTGCCTTGGATTTATCTCGCCCAGGGGACAAAAGCTGGGCTGGGAGGTCTGAGACCTGGGCCCCTCACCAGCTGTGTGTGCCTCTCTCAGAGGCCCTGATCTTCCCTCTTTCAAGGTTCCAGCCCCCCATGCAAGGGCACAATTCTACCTAATCAGGGAAGGGTGGGGTCTGCAGCTGGCTGGGGGAACTGGGGGTGGGGGAGGAGGGCTGTGAGGCAGGTCACTGGTTTTGGAAGGAGCAGCATGGGGTGAAATAACTAGGTCCGGAATCCCTTGCCCCGGGTTCAGAGCACGGCATGGGAGCTGCACGGCATGGGAGCTGCACGGCACGGGAGTTATGCGGCTGCACAGGGTCTGTGCTCAGAGGACCCCACATCTGGCTTTATATTCTGCTATTGCATCTTGAGATTCTTAATAATTTGTGAAAGAGGGGCCCAGCATTTTCATTTTTCACTGGGCTCCACAAATTATGTAGCTGACCCTGCTACCAGGTGTTAACCGTGGCCGTGGGCAAGTCACTTTGCCTCATAGACCCTCAGTTTTCTCATCTGTGGAATGGAGAAATGGTACCTCCACCTTGGAGGACTGCTCTGAGGACTGAATGAGAGACTCCAGATAAAGAGCCAGGCAGTGACAGATCCACAATCGGTGTCAATCCCTGGCAATTGTGACAGTCCCTCTTCAGGGGCTTGACAGGGAAAAATGTCTCTAGAGCAGTGGCAATCTCTCCCCAGCCTTGTCTGTGTGCTCTCTGGGCACTTTATGGACACTTGAGGCCAAAAATAAAATCCTCACTGGGAAGCAAATAGTTTCCCCATCCCTACAACCCCCCTGCCTGTGGCTATGTGGGGTCATGTTGTTTAGGGCCTCAAGCTTCTGGGAGGTGAGACTCTGGTGTTTGTGATCCTGGGAGAGGAGGAGGGTCTGATGAGACTGCTCCAGCATCTGCTTTAGGCCAGAGGAGGGTTAATGGTCTGTCTTTCCCAGATGAAGGCCCTGATGCCAGAAGTGCTGTGAAGGGAGCTGCCGTGCAGTGGGAGATGATGCTGTTGTTCCAGAATCACAGCAAGCCCAACCCTCTGGCCCTGAGCTTGCCCAGCCTCAGCCCTTGATCCAGCCACTGCCCTTGTCCCAGCCCCTGCCAAGCCCAGCCCTGCCTGTGATCCAGATCCTATCCCAGCCCCATCAAAGCCCTTACCCCAACTCTAGCCACAGACCTGACCTCACCCCAGCCCTCACTTCTGACCCTGAATAGGCCCCAGCCCCTGTCCCTGCCTCAGTCCCTGCCCTAGCCCCTGCCCTAGGCTCCTGCCTTCCCCTTTGTCCTCCCTGCCCGTCCCTCCCCCCAGCACTCTTCCCAGCAGAGCTGCATCTGAGAGGGCCTGGCTCTGATTGAACAGGGCCCTCGTGGGGAGGCCTGGCAGGCTAGCAGGTCAGTACATGTGGAGGTTGTGTGTGTCACAGGTGGGCACGTGGCCCAGCAGCTCCAATAGTAGGTACAAGGCCAGGCCATAAGGTGGGGGCAGGTGCCAGACTTGGGTCCTTCAGCTTGTCCCCTCCCCTGCGCTGGGCCAGGCTTGCTCCTGAGCCATGGGTGGGGTTGAGCCTTCAGGGGTTGCTGGGAAAATGCCCAAGCTGCAGCCACCAATATCAGGTGGGAGGGGGTCCCCGGAAAGGCTAGTGGGATTTGGGCAGCCCACAAAGTGAGGGCATTAAGAATGACCCACACCTTGACTACAGATGACCAGCTTTAAAAGAAAGGACAAAAATAGCCCAAGTCTCCTGTGGGGTCGTCAATGCCTCTTCTCTCCTCCTTGAGAACTGAACCAGGGAGGAGGGAGTAGAGGAGCTTGGAGGACCATGGAGAGCCTGGCCCTCCACCCACAGGTGGATCCTGCAAAGGACACATCATGAGGACAGAATCAGCACTGTGACATCACAGCACGGCTGCAGCTTGGTGCTCCTGGAGCTGCAGGTGAGTCTGCTGGGCCCCTTCCTGCACACTGTGCTCATGGACTCATGTCTGATGCTTGCGGCTGGAAAGGCTGGCCATGTGGCCCCTCATCTTCTCTCTCTGCTCCCTCCACACACTGGGCTGGCCCATTGGGTGACTAATGAATGTCATGCTTACATGACTGGGAAGCGGCTTTGGGCGAGTGGCCCAGGAACTGTTTGCAAGTCTGTGTTGAAACAACCTATTAACTAGACCATCTTCCCACCTGACAATGAGCTATTCAGAATGTCCCTGTCTGCATCTCCACTCTAGCTCTCTAAGTTCTGTATAAGCCCAGAGGATATGACGCTGGTGAAACGACTAAATGTATGAATGGACGGGGGGTGGGCACAGAGACATGAGGGTGCCTCCGCCTTGTACAGGCTGCTTTCTGAACCAGCCCCGGCTCTGACCCTATGACTCTTTCCCGAAGGTTGTTGAAAGCCAGCACCTGTTGGAAGTTCCCCACACATCTTGGTGGCTGGGGACTGAGCCTTGGGAGTGATGGGGCCATACCAGTTATGGGGCAGCAAGGGCAACAGGCCAGTACAGAACGGCACACTCAGCCCCTCCAGAGCTGGGACACAGCTTGAAGGCCCTGGACTTTGGATTGAATGAGCCCCAAGTCCAAATCCAGGCTTGCTGTGTGACCTTAAGTTGGTCACAGACCCTCTCTGAGCTTCTGTTTCCTTTTCTGTGAAGTGGGACTGTCAACTCTGGCTTTCAAGGACTGTCGGGAGGATCTGAACAGTAGGCTGCTGCTGTGATTGCTGTTGTGATTTGTCTTCCTCCTGCCTGCTCACGGGGCTTTTGTCCTCCAGCATGGCCTGGAGTGGTGAGGGGCAATGCTGGTGGCCATGGAGACAGGCCAGGGAGCTGGCCTGAGCACTCCTGCCCACAAGGAAGGGGACCTGCAGGCACTGTTGCAGGAACTCTGCCACCTGCAGGCTAAGAACAAGTTGTCCCTCTGTGCCCCTGTCCCGCTGCCAACCCCAGCCCCCATGCCACCCACAGGGGGCTAAGTGGCTGGACTGAGCAAAAATGCCCCGAGGAAGCCAGCCCAGGGAGTGGACTGGAGGGGGTGATGCCTGGAAGTAAATCAGGGACAGCTGTTGCAGGAGATGAGTGCGTGGCTATTGTTCTTGACCTCAGCTCCCCCTTTGACGTAGAACTGGGCAGTCCCAGGCCCTCTGTGGCTGAGTCTCCTCATCACGGGGTGGAGGGTGCAGGTGGCCATCCCTGTGCACCTACCAGCTTGGCCCCTCTAAAGTCAGTCTAGAGGTTACTGCCTGGCTCTGAGTGCAGACCCTGGGTCCTCGCTCCACCTGGAGGGCTTTAAATTTCAGGCTACCCACAAAAGCCTGAATTAGATGCAAAAGGATGCATCTGTGAGCAGTTTTATGGAGAAAAGCTCTGGCCCTTCCATCAGATTCTCAAAAAGCTTCCCGACCCCAACAAGATTTAGCACCTCCATGGCTCACCCGGTATTTGTGGGAAAGAGGATTTTTTTCCCTGCATTTTTCAGGACTGTATAGATGAGAAAAGAGAGGCAGAAAGATCTGCCCTGGGCCACTCAGTGGTCATTCAGAGGTCCCCACCACAGTCAGAGGGTGGGTGGGTGGGAGACTCAGTCAGCTGGCCAGGTCAGGCCCCGCTCTGCCCTCTGCCCTCTGCCCTCGACCGCTGACCCTGACCTACTGGAGACTCATCTTACTTAAGGATTCCCTGAGAGTCGAGCACAGCCAGGCAGCAGCATGCAACTGGCTCCGCTCAGGGGGCTGGCCACCCTGTGCATGGTCTCGGCCAGCCTGCAAGGGAGGGTCTCTCATTACCCTTAGTACAGATGGACAACCCCGGCACAGGAGGTGAAGCACCTGGCCTGGGTCATCAGCCAGGAGGGGCTGGTCTGTCTCGGAGGTGGGACTTGGCCACCACCTGCTCAGCCTCCAGGAGACCTGGCCCTCACTCTTCTGGCACCCCAGTTCTGCTGCCGGACCCTCCTTTGACCTGTTTGTGGCTCAGGGTGCTCAGTAAAATGGGGGTGGCCCAGTGCGGCTCTGAGCAGGAGAGCCACAGAGGGTGGCCCTCAGCAGGGGCCGTGCATGGCCTGGGAGCCTCCAAACAGTGTTGTCATGTCTGGCTCTCCAAGCAGAGGAAGCTGAAGAGAGAGGTTGAGAAACACAAGCTTTTTGAAGACTACCTGATTAAGGTCCTTGAGAAAATCCTGAAAGGTACGTAGGCAGCTTCCTTGGAAAGTCCTCTCCATGGCCACCTCCCAGCTGTGGGACTGGGACCCAGTGCATGACCTCACTGAGTCTTGAGCTGGTCATTTGCAGAGTGGGGACCTGCTAAGGCTGACGCCACAGTGGTGGAGAGGGCACAGGTGCCTGGTCCCAACCCCAGCGCCACCGTCGCTAAACGTGTGGCCTCTGGCAAGTTCTCAAGGTCTTGATTTCTTGATTTCCCATACAGTGGGAATGGCAATCATTACATGGACTAGATGAACTCCTGCTTTACAAGAATGTAGCCCAGGACCCCATGAGATGTTAGCCGTTACCATTATTATTTTATGTGTCTTTGGTTTTGTTTTCCTATTTTGCTATTATTAACTGAGTATGGGGACATCTGAAATGGGTTTTTGTGTTTTGTTTTATGATAATTTTTACCAGAGTCTGCTGTTACAAGTGCTGGAAACTCACTAGAAAAAGGAAGGGGAAACAAATATACATATTTATTATTATCATTATTACTTCAACATCATCAATAATTTTAAAAAATTACCACTTATTAAATATTTACTCTGTGCTAAGCTCTTTGGTAAAAATCTTTTTTACGCCTCCTCACAAGCTTTGGAATTTTGTGTTACCCAGGCTCAGAGAGGGTAAGGAACTTGCCCAAAGGCGCCCAGCCTGGCAGTGGTGGGGCTGGGGCTCAGACCCTGGTCTAGCTGAATTCCTAGCCCCTATAATAAGTGCTATAATGCAGGTACTGACGAGGGGCTGTGGGAGCCCCAGGAACTCTGCCCTGGAGGTCAGAAAAGGCTTCACGGAGGAGGTGCCCTCTCATGGGGCTCACATGAGTTCAGCAAAGGGTAATGGCATTGCAGGTGGAGGGAAGAGCACACACAGAAGCTCCAGCCAGGGCCCTGCATGCGGTGGGTTTGGGGGTGGTGAGCTCCAGTGTGCTGGAGCTGGCAGGGTGGCTGGGGGGATGGGCAGTACCAAAGGGCCTTGAGCACCCAGCCGAGGAGGGGTGTGGGGCTCTGGGTCAAGCAAGGGGCTTGAAGCAGACCCAGCACCCAGTGCTGTTTGGGACAGCCTCCTGGTTGGGGGCCCTCTTAATTCAGCAATTCAACCCTCTTCAACCCGTCTAGAATGAGTAGCCACCAGACCCTGGAACCTGCTCACTCCAGACAGAAACAATTCCTGTCCCCATCTCTCAGACTCCCTGACTCTGCTGCTTCTCCTTGGGGCAGTCTCCTGCCTCACTTGGCAGCCTCCATCCAGAGTCCGCGTTCTTGTCCTTGAGGTGAACTTTGGAATGCCCAGGCTTCTCTTGGAGAGGTGGGAGTGGGTGAGGGGACTGGAGAGCTGCGGGACCAGTCTTACTGCCTCGGACTGAGCCTGGCACGGCTTGTCTGGTGCTACTCAACTTCAGGGCTCCAGCCTGAGCTCCCGGCGACAGCAGAAGCCCCATCCACCTTGTTAGCTTCAGCACTGTAGGGGTCACCCACCTGTCCCACCCTGGCACTGTCTCCATAGGCTACAAAGAACGGGAGGAGCTGGAGGAGGCCCTTGTGGAGGCCAGGACGTCCAGAAGCATCTGGCGGCCTTCTCCCAGATGAACCTGGCCGTCCTCCAGAGCCTGGAGTCTCTAGAGGAGAGCCATAGGGCTCTTGTGCCAGTAACAGTTGCCTGAAGTCTGGAACTTTCCTCTTGGCCCAGAGGTGGGGGAAGTATAGGGTGCCCCTGTCCTCTGCACCCTGGGGAAAGCCTGGAGCAGTGGTGGGCTACTGAGAGGGTCTGGGTGGGTTTGTCACCCCAGAGCTGGTCTTGTATCCCCTTTTTCTCCCCTTCTGCTGGCTGACTCGAGCTTTCTACTAAGCCTTGGTTTGTGCTTAGAAGGTGTTCTGCGTGGTAGAAAAGCCATGAGTTTTGGATTCAGACAGACTGGGGTTCAAATCCCAGCTCAGCCGCTGCCTGGCTGCATGACTAGTTTGTACCCTTTCTGAGCCTCAGTTTCTTCAACTGTCAAATGGGGGCAACACACACTTGCTGCTAGGGCTCTTGTGAGACACCAAACACAAACTATTTGTCTCAAAGTAAGTGCCCAGAGACATCATTCCCCACCCTTTCCTTTTTGGTTATCACATAATAAATAGAATTTTCACCAGTTGGAGTGGGCATTTCAGGCAGAGGACCCTGGCAAAGGCATGGGATCAGGAAGATGCTTGCTGCCACTGGGACCTGGGGACACAGGAGAGGAGGACGACTGGGTAGCTGATTCCTTGCTAAGGGCTGCTGGGAGCTGTTTGAAGAGAGTATCTGCCCCCTAGTGGCAACACTGCAAACCTACATGCTTTAGTACCTTGTTTTCTCTGGAGGATGGGGTCCGCCTAGGCACTGGGCACAAAACTATTCTTTCCCCACTGAATTGTCTCAGTACCCTTGTCAAAAATCAGTTGACCTTAAATACGAAGGTTTATTTCTGGACTCTCAATTCTATTCCATTGATCGACATGTCTATTTGTGTTCCAGTACCACCTGTCTTGATTACTGTAGCTTTGTAGTAAATATTGAAATTGGGAGGTGAGTCCTCCAACTTCGTTCTTCTTTTCTGAGGTTGTTTGGCTCCTCTGCCAGGGCATGTTTCACATTGTGCGTGGAAGTTCAGTGGCTGGGTGGGTTTCAGGTGTGGCGTGTTCTAAGGCTCCGTGGCACCATTAAGGGCTTCACTCTAAGTCAGAGCTTGCTTACCTCATTTGAGGCAAGTTAAGTGGAGATGTTCCAACACAGGATTCTTAGCTCCTCGGGAACACTAAGGGGCAGGTCTCTTCTCTAGTGTCCAGTAGCAACAGTCAGCAGTGGGCAGGCCCACATCTTAGTTAAGGAGGACTTCTCACAAGAATTTCACAGGCAGTATCAAGGCTGTCATGTGGCACAACTCCAGGGCACCATTCATGTTGACATCTATGTAATTGGCATCCTCTGGGGTGTAACTCATTCACGCTGCAATAGGAATGATGTAATTTCTAAGTAAAGGCATATTTGTCTAAATAACTGCAGTGTATTAATTTCATCTTCTTCCCAAGAAATGGGAAGATATTACGTGGTGATGTCAGAAAGTCCCAAGGCTCTCCCACAACAATCACATTGGGCCTCTGGGTTGACAACCATCAGTCACTCAGCCAACACTAATTGAGTCACCCAAATGTGCTCCGCATGGTGCTAGTTGGAGGTGGGGATGATAATGACTCACCTGGTCCTTAAGAAATGAATGCCCCTCAGAGAGAGAGGCTGGGGTAGTTGGGTGGGCTTCTTGGAGGAGGTAGTGAGAAGAGGCAGGCTACCACACTGAGGAGGTCACACCAGGATCTGGACTTCCTTCCAGCTTTTTCACTACTAGGCTGTGCAGCTTCAGACAAGTCACTAAACCTCTCTGAGCCTCAGTTTGCTCATTTGCCAAGCAGAATTGACACCATATCCTTTGCAGGGCCCCGTGAGAGTTCAAGGAGATGCTGGTCAACCTTCGACAGTGTTTTGGTCCCTGGGAAATGGTGTCCAGGGGCCAAAGCACTGTCAGGTGAGAGAGATTTGTTTTCACTCCCAGGAATTTATTTTGGACAAAATGGAGACAGTGAGACTTATCTCACAGCTCATGGAACCCAGAGTGTGCTGGCCCGAGGACAGCCACAAGGACCAGAGGCTCAGAAGATACCCCAGAGCCTTCAGGAAATGTACAAGGAGCCAAGACTCGAACCCTAGGACCCCCTTTCCCATTGCCCAAACTTCAGAGTGCTCTAGCCTGTACTGACCGGCCGGCAGCCTCATGGGTCCCCAACATCACAACTGTCTCCTTATCTGTGCAGCCTCCTTTCCTTGCCACCACCATGCCCAGGTGGGTGGGAGACAGTCTGGGGTCAGTGAGAGGGTGATCAGGGTGCTGGAGACAGGTGGGGTTCAGGGTTGCTGTTCTCCATAATGAGGGATCGGCAGGGATCAAGGTGAGGCCTGCCTGGGACAGAGGGAGAGAGAGAGGGAGTTTCCTCGGTTGGAAGCAGCAGCCAGGTGGAGGTCCCAGGCTGGAAACTGGCCCCCTGGGAGGGCAGGGCTGTGTTTCTCACTGAGAAACATGGTGGGTTCCTGAGACTGAGGAGCTTTGGATAGATGTTTGGCTGTTGAGGATGTCCGAGTCGCGGGAACTCTGCCAAGAGTCTCCAGCCATAGGCTTCATGGAGCTTGTCTAGCCGCTAGCAGGCTGGGGGCCAGTGGAGGTACTGAATTTACTCCAGTTTCCAGTCCTTTTTCCTTAGTTCCATCTGAGACCTCATCAGAATGGCCTTTACTGTCTGAATTTCTACCAGCATTCAGACCACAGCCAAGGAGGTGATCTCTGAGAAGATTCAGACCGTCCCTACATTTCTTCTCTTCTGAGCCCTCACCGGAATCAACCTTGCAGCAGTACGGGCTTTCTCTCATCTGCTCCTCCAAACTCTTCCAGCCTCTACTCCAAAACTGCTTCCACATTTTCAGATATTTGTTATAGCAATAGCCCCACTTCTTGGTACTAATTTTTTGTCTGGTGTGTGCTGCTGTAACAGAATACCTGAGACTAGGTAATTTATAATGAACAGAAATTCATTTGGCTCATGGTTCTGGAAGCAGAGAAGTCCAAGATTGTGGGACCACATCTGATGAGGGCCTTCTTGCTGCATGCTAACGTGGCCGAAGGCTTCACATGGTGAGAGAGAGACAGAGAGAGAGAGAGAGAGAGAGAGAGAGGGAGAGAGAGAGAGATATATATAGAGAGAATACCAAACTCATTTTTATAATAAACCCACTCTCGTGGAAACAAACTCACTCCCTGGATAAAGACATTAATCCGTTCATGAGGGCAGAGTCCTCATGATCTAATCACCTCTTAAAGGTTCCACCTCTTAACACTGTTGGATTGGAGATTAAGTTTCCAACACATGAACTTTTTGGGACACAGTCAAATCATAGCATTTTCTAAATAGAAAACTTTCTTGGCCCTGACCCTATACATTTAAAGCACTTTCCTCTTGGGTTCCATGTTAGCTGGAGAAAGACCTTTGGATGCATTTGGAGGAAAAAAGCACCAGTTCAGGTACCTTGTGAAATGTTATCTCATCTGACCTCCCAACTGGATCTTGGGACACTAAGACACCAGTGGCCCAGGGCTTGGACATTTTCTGAGATCAAGCTTATTACCTGCCAACAAATTACAGCTTTAAGCAATTTTAAGTATGAGAAAATTCTTCCTACAGACAATCCAGGAAGAGTTGGATAATTAGCAAGTGGCTGGTGCTGGGAAAAATGGCTATTTGAGGGGAAAATCAAATTATGTCCTTTCTCCACATTAGATACTGTAGTATATTCCAGCTCCTTTGAGTGGTGTTTTTCAAACTTTAATGTTCATTAAAACCACCTGTGACACTTGCTGAAAATGGGGATACCGAGGGCTACTCTTAGAGATTCTGATTTTGGGGTGGGGACCAGAAATCTGGATTTTTAGCAAGCTCCCCAGGAGGTTCCAATGCAGATGGCTTTCAGATCACAACATTAAATTACTGGGTGTAGTGGATTGAAAACTCTCTGAAGCTTGAATTGTGTCCTCCAAAACTCTCTGAAGCTTGAATTGTGTCCCTTGAGTTTTATGTATTAGAAGCTAATCCCCACTGTGACTGTTAAGAGGGTTGGAAATCCTTTTATGGCAATTGAAAGGTGGGACCTTGAAGAGGTGATTGGATTGTGGGACCGTGCTCTGGTGAATGGATTAAAGGTGGTGGTCGGAGGTGTGGTTCTGAGGGCTTTAAAAGAAGAGGAGAGTCTCTCTTTTCCTCTCTCTGCTTCTAGTATCTTGCAGTGTGAGACCCCTGGGTCACTGTTGCCACCACCAAATGGACTCAGAAACTGTAAGCAAGAAATTTTGTTTTTCTTTATAGATGACCCAGCTCCATGTATTTTGTTATAAACAACAGAAATGGACTAATACACTGGGTATCTAAATTTCAAAAAGGTCTGGCCGGTCAGCTCAGTTGGTTAGAGAATGGTGGTAACACCAAGGTCCAGGGTTCAGATTCCTTTACCGGCCAGATGCCAAAAAAAATTTTTTTTTAATTAAAAAAAAAAAAAGTCAAAAAGAGGTCCATATTTACCTGGTCTTCATTAGTGAAGGACTTGGGAAGCTGGAAAACAATGGAAGAGATGCCGCCAAATAATGTGACCATATGAAAATGAAAAATGTGTCTACTTCAGAATACTTCAAAATATCTAAAGACAATAAGCTTGGGGGAAATGGTGAGGAACTTGAAAAAGGACCAGTGTTTTTGATATTTAAAGATCTCTCCCAAAGTAGAAAGTAAAAAAGAAACCAAAAAAAAAAAAAAAAACCCGATTGCTCTAATTCAGCAAATTCCAAAATAAAAATGACCTATAAACGTGAAAAACATTTCAGCCATCTATTTTTGCCCATCCAAAAAAATTTTAAGCAAATGGACTAACGCTCATAAGATAGGCTCTCCAGCACTGCGGTATTGTTTGTGTAAACTCACTGGAAAGCAATTTGATAACAGGCCTCAAGAGGCTTAAAAAATGTTTATGTCCTTTGGCTCAGTAATTCCCATTCAGGAAACTTAAATTAATGAAACCAGAGCTAATTGGTTCAAAGTGAAAGAA